ACACAAAGTGGTTCAGCAAGCGTCAAAGCAAGCAACACGCTTCCTAGGCAAAAATTGCGTGTTTTGACAAATTCTTCTTCAGGCAAACATATTTTCCTGGAACCAAAGCTCTCAATTTTACTGTGCATAAGTCAACCACTCTAAAGAAGGCTTCTCTGGTTCTCTGGATGCCGGCTGAATTACTCTTTGTGGAGAATATTACATATGGCTGAAGGAGGGTGTGGCAAGCTTTCTCCTCAAAGGAATTCCCAGGGTACAGTCCTTCTTTGACAACTTGTTGATTGGTGCCACCACCGACGAAGACTTCGCCAGGAGGCTGCGCACCATCCTGGAGTGGTTCCAAGTGGCCATATGGGCCGCACCTCTAGGTTGAGTTGTAGCGAGACGGGAAGTCCAGTGTACTGACCGAGCATCCCATCAAAGACCGCCGGGAACTCGTTGCACGCCCGCTGAAAGTCTTTCATGGCCACGTGGTGCACCCCAGTCATTCAGTGGTGAACTGCTCAGTGGCCTCTGTGGCGAGGGCCACTTCCATGGCCTCCTTGAAGGGGTCACCCTTGGCGAGGAGCTTTCTTTGAATCCGCTCATCCCTCAGGCTGCAGACCAGCCGGTCATGAAGTCCGTTGGAGAGCTGTAACGAAGGCTGTGATGGATTCGTTCGCAACCTGGTTCCTTGTGTGGAACGCGTGGGGGGCAGTGATGATGGATGGTTTTGGAGAGAAGTGTTTTTTAGCCGGTCCTAAGTCGTCTTATAATTGGTGTCCTTAAGCTCTGCGGGAGCGATAAGCGAGCGGGCAACCTCGAAGGTTGAGCGGCCACAGACGCAGAAGGTGGCATGCTTCTTTGCTGCCGCCTCAATCCCAGAGGACTTGAGGAACAACTCGAACCAGGTGATGTAAGACTCCCAGTTTTCTGCGGTGGTGTCAAATGTGTCGAAGTGTCCTGGAGTGGCAGCCATGGTCCCGGGAGTGATGCGATTGGTGTGGCACTGGAGCTCGGTGTGCAGTGCGGTGCTGGTGGGCGCTGGGCTGGCTCAACAGGATCCCACCTTCGTCGCCAGTATTAACTACTGGGTTCTAGACGCATGGCAGTGATCAGCTCAGATTTATTCAGTTACTTCAGCAAAACTACAAGACAAGACTCCAGAGCCTCAGGTCTGTTAAATAGCATGCAATTGCCACACCCAAACACACCCCACTCCCAGTGATAGGCTATTTAGATAACATTACTGCTTGATTGGTTTATTCCAGAGTCCTGGTCAGCTATTGTTCTTGTGCTCCAAGCTCTGGGGTGATTCAACCAGGGGTGATTCAATCCCAGTACATAACAACTAGAGTAAAGCAACACATTAACCACTAGATCACAGTGCTGTTTGATAAGGGAATGCTCAAAGTATTTAGTCTTTGCAGGGCACAGCCCTCATTCTGTAAGGGAGATATTGAGGTTTATTTGTTTATTCCAGGTTCAGAGTGAAACCTTGTATTTCCCAGCCAATAAGCGGTCAGTGTATTAAAGCATTTATTTAAATATAATCTGACCGTTGTAGATCCGATTAAAAAATGACAGTATTGCTTAGATACTCAGAACATAGAGAAACCTTGTATTTCCCAGCCAATAAGTGGTCAATGTATTAATTAAAACATTTATTTAAATATAACCTGACCATTGTAGATCCGATTAAACAATGACAGTATTGCTTAGATACTCAGAACACTGGGATACCCATAGAAATCAATCCTATATAAGCATACATGTCATTCCTATTCTACCTAAATTGACTTTAAGGAGAAAAGTTACATTTCAAGCTTTTTACCCAGAGCTTTGCCAAAAAGGCAGATTTCACTGAATTCCAAATCTGTGAGATTCAGAGGTTGTAGGGTTTGGCCAGTTATAGAAAACCAGTTCTATAAGCCAGCACATGACTTTACTAAACCTTTTGGTTCATGATGTCTAAAGGCAAGATGTAAGACACCTTTGAGCATCCCAGTGAATAATTGTTCTACTTGTTCTAGAATTTATTCTGGGCATAAATTATCCTTCAAGGCTGAAAGGAAAAAAATGCATGTTTGTATGGCTAGAAAGTGGAATAATTGTTCTACTAGAATTTATTCTGGGCATAGATTATCCTTCAAGGCTGAAAGAAAAAAAATTCAAAAATGCATGTTTGTATGGCTAGAAAGTGAAAAAAATGCATGTTTGTAGATTTACACAAGAATCTAGAAGCAAATTCTTAGGTCTGCTATGTCAAAACATGCTAAGCAGTGCTTTAGAGTTAAAATCTGCAACACTTTACCTGTCCTAATGCCTTCTTTCTCACATGGCCTTCACTAGCTCCATGTTTGCCAAATAACAGTGCAATCACGCACCTACAACCTTGCAGCCAGAGCAAGGTATGCAAATTAAATAAAATTAGAAGATTGCGCTTAATATTACATATTTAGAATGTCAGATATTGTGTCTTTTGCTTCTTTTTATGCCTGCTTCATATGATAGTGTGGGATAATATAACTTCTAGATCATTGAGGCGTAACAAAATAATAAAAACTCTGCAATCCTCAACACCAGGTCTGTCTCCAGCGCCCTAACCCTGCCACAACCCATGGCTCGCCGCTCATCCCTTTGCAGTGTGGAAGTAATGGAACAACTCAAAGAGCTGAGTAAGATGCTGGTGGCCAAGGAATTTCAGATATGAATGGAAGGCATAACATTGCTGATGGAGTATTGTAAGAAAACCCCCCAGCTTGTCTTGTCAAACATCATCCAGGTATGGAGAATATTTTCATGCCATCCCAGTAGCTTTAACACAGGTTACCCATTCAGTGAGGCTCATTTTGGCCTTATCATTTCCTAGTTTAAATCACTGAACTTTGTTCTGGCTGTGTTCCACTTTGCAGCTGTCTTGGAGGAAACCTCCCTAACAGTTGTTGCTCCTTGGCTCTCTTGTTCTTGTAAGCAGAGAAGAACTGAAGTTCCACTTGCTCAAAATGCAGCAAAATGTTTACCAAGAAATCTACCAGAATAATGCAAAATGTATTTAAGTTTTACTATTTATATCCTGCTTCTCTTCCGAAGGGGGGACCCAAAATGGGTTCACAATGTCATTCTCCCTTCCTCCATTTTATCCTTACAAGAACCTTATGAGGTAAGTTAGGCTGACAGAGAACTTGACTGGCTAAAGGTCACCCAGTGAGCTGCCATGGCAGCGTGGGAGTTTGAACCTGATTCTCCCAGATCCTAGTTCAACACCATGACCACTACACCACACTGGCTTTCATGGATTGTTTTTAAGAGAGCAGAGAAGCAGCTATAATGGTCCTTTCCTCACTTGGATCTCATCCCTGGTTTTTATCAGAGTTCAGCTCATGACATTTATCCCTGGTTATAACAGCATCCGTTTATCCCAGGACGAGTGTGGGGCAAAACTGGGCTGACCTCAATGTAATGTGAAAACAAAAAATACCCTGAGATAATTACAGGGGTGAACTTGAGTGTAGTTTAGAATGTAAGTTCAGGGACAGGGTTGAACCAGGATTTAAGCTCTAGTGTGGAATCACCCTAGTATCTTATACAGATGCCAAATGTCATTGCTTCCCAGTTTTCATCATGGACTATATGCTGCTGATCCCTTTCTGATTATTCCTACAGCCTACAATATCCTACCTTGGTAAAAATAATTGCTGGTTGTTACCATTTTCCCTACCTCATCTCTGTCTTTGCTCATTAAGGAGGCAGCCCAGAGATGGGGGAGGGTCCTTATTTCCCTCCCACACAGCAGCAGCTGTTGTTAATACTGTTTGTTTTCCCTGGTCTGTCTCACCTGAGGATGCAGCACAGTGGCAGGACTGACAGAATCCATTACTCTAAAGAATAAGACAGCAATCTGCTTTGAGAGGGTTGCTTTATATCCCAAATAACATACTACTCCTTAAAACTGTCTTCTCTGCTTTCCCAGGGCCAGTTCATTCATGAGGCATAGCTAGCTTAGTTTGGGCCAGCTTAAAACAAGATGTGCCATTTATTTATATGGTGGGAAATTAACCTTACTTTTCCTGGACCACAGTGCACAGATATTTGGCAGCTGTTGATTTCTTTGGTCAGAGACACAAAATTGTATCTGTAGTCACCAAACTAATCTGTATCCAGATAATCAAAATATAAGGGATATTCTTAGGACAGGTTTATACATGCTTGTGTATCGGAGTGCCAGAGAGGGAACTGTTGTATCACCTCATATGCAACACTTTTCAAGGTATATAGAAATATTGATTTCTACAGGCTTCATGTCTTCCCCTGGAATGTTTTGCTGATACCCTGCTATGCTGTGTTTCCTGTTGAAGCCAAATGGTGAGGCCCAGATGGCCTCGATTGCCATGCCATATAACCACACATTCTTCACACCTCTAAGTGGAAGAGCTAGACTTCAAGGTGCCTGCTTTAAGGTTACAGGCCCCATGTCACGTACAACATGGAGGAATCGTTGGAATTTGGGGACCACATGACTGCAGGTGTGGCCTTCAAGAGTACTGACCATTCAGAAGTTGTCCCCATGGCAACCCAACAATTGGACACTCCCATATCTACTCCAATTGGCCCCGTTGGCCAGGGCTAATTTGGGGACGGGGATTGCAGTATATCTGGTCATTCCCAATGAGAGGAACTCTCTCTCTTCTGTTCCTGCTATCTCTGCTGTTCTGTGTGCTGTCCACCTGAAATGCTGTCCTGCCATGTGGTTTCTGGCAGAGACAAAGAGCTGCTTTGAAGCACATGGCTGCATGCTTGCAAAGATGGACTTCTTGCTCCAAACCTCTTGGGGCTACTGGATTATTACAAATGGACTATTCTGGACTGATAACTGTTCCTGACTTGGTAAATATGCATCTCTAATGTGTAGTTAGGCAAAACTTGCCTAGGCTTGTTATTTTGAAATCCTTATTAGTCTGATTGCTAAATTCTGTGCTGAATAAATGTATCCTGGTTTCTAACTTGTTTGTCTGATGTTGTAACTGGATTTCAGGGTTAACTCCTGTGCCTGCTGCTCACCACATGACACTACCTTGGTAAGATTAACTGCACAGCTCTAGATTGAGTTGTTAATGTATTAAATCCCAGGTGCCGAGATTCTGGGATCTCTAATCTCAGGCTGGTGAGGGATTAAGTTTAGAGATTCCTGGTGGCTATAGTGTTCTGAAATCCTGAGAGGGTAGCCTACCTTTCTGGATTATTGTTAATGTATTGAGCCAGTGTAGAGTTCCCCCCCCATCCCTGGACTGGCCTGGGGGGCAGAATCTATACACAAGGGAATCGGGTCACACTTCCAGCTGCCCTCCTTGGACTATGCAGGCATCAATTAATATGCATCTTCTTCTTCAGGCAAACATATTTTCCTGGAACCAAAGCTCTCAATTTTACTGTGCATAAGTCAACCATTCTAAAGAAGGCTTCTCTGGTTCTCTGGAGAGATCTTTGCCTGAAGAAGAATTTGTCGAAACATGCAATTTTTGCCTAGGAGGCATGTTGCTTGCTTTGATGTTTGCTGAAACACTTTGTGTGTAAAATACAACTGCCTGCTGCATTTTTCATGCCTGCTTTGATGCCTGCTGAATTACTCTTTGTGGAAAATATTACAGCCTGCTGCATCTTTCATCATTTATGACTGTTGCAACTTTCACCAGTCCTTTATCAGGAGCAAGGTAGTCTACAGCGTTGGAATAGGTCTTTGTAGCTGTGGACTTTTCTATTAGTAGATACAATGTACTTTAGGTTTTTGTATGTGTATAAGATATACTAGAGTCTGTATTGCAAGTAAATCAATATATGAAGATACAAGTACATATTAGTAGAAGTGTGTTTTGTTCTATCACGGTGTTTCTTTATGGTTGTCTAACTTTGCCGTGTTCCCTGTGTGTTTGTACCCAGAACTAGGGAGCCTTCTTGTCGAGGAGGCATTGAAGTAGTTCTGCGATCGCAGCTTTGTGGGGCAGGAAGGACTGATGGAAATTCAAACGCTCCAAGAAGGCCTGGAGTTCCAGCTCGGAGGTTGGCACGGGGGCATCAACGATAGCGCGCACCTTGTCTGGAGCCAGATGGATGCCCTCTGCATCGACAGAGAAGCCCAGAAACTTGACCCATGGAACCCCCAGGAGGCATTTCTCCTGCTTCACCTTGAGGCTGGCCACTTGGAACCACTGCAGGACGGTGCGCAGCCTCCTGGCGAAGTCTTCGTTGGTGGTGGCAGCAGCTGGTGTCCTGGTGTTGTTAAATCTTAAAAAAAATAGTATTAATAGAAGAGTGTACTCAAAGGTGAAATACTTTAAGTACCGTGGTATAGGAGTTAGTAGGTGTAATGGAGTAAGAACTATTTGTTTGTATTTTCTCTTTTTTGGCTCAACTGTGTTACGGTACAAAATTTAAATTTAATTTCATGTATGTGTTGTTGAGTATGTCAGTGTGTATATATATGTCTTATTTTGTTTGAAAATCTAATAAATATATTGTAAAAAAAAAGAAAAGAAACTATTGCCTCCATGATCCCAATCCTTAAAGATGGTTTAAGCAGTCATGGTCTCTGTAGCGATTATAGTCACTGACAACCTAAACTCAAAGAATTCTGGGATTTACAGTGCAGCAGTGAAGGTGCTGGACCAAATGATCATTAGTCTAGGTAATGGTTATTTCCTCTCCCTGGTTTTTTTTTAAATGTATATAATCTGTCTATTTCACCTTTCAGCCTACCAGATATCCTCAAGACAGGGCCCTATGTTCCTCCATAGATCACTGTTGCAAAATGGACAATTGGCTAGCCCCATCTAGGGGATTTCTGTGATTATGAAAGTTCATCACAAAGGTTGGAGATAAGCCAAGATTACCCAGCTCCTTTAAAACCGGCCATTTCTCTCTGTGGTAGCAGCTATTTTGACCAGCAGTTTGCATGAATACCAGAGGGTTACCCTACTCAAGATACTGGGACCTATAGGACACGTATCTTCTGCCACGAACTGTGCTGTTGAGTTTCAGTAATTGAGATGGTTGTGTCTTCACTATCCAGCTGTTCCCCCTGTTCTTAGAAAACAGAGTGAGGACACTGATGGGAGTTCAAAGGATCCGGGTTTGGCACTCTGTAATTTGAAGGACAGAATCTATTAAGGTTTGTTTTGTAACCTGAACTTTGGTCTAATGAGGCTAGAGAGAGAGAGAAAGAAAGAACCTACTCCTGTTTTGGAGTAACTTTTCACTAATGCCAATATGACTGGTACAAACACATATGTTTGTCATATATCATATGTTCCCATTATCCTTCACTTTATTTTTTTATTAGCAGCAATATGCCAGCAATAAGTAAAAGAAGGAAGGAACTTTTTAAAAACACTGTGCTACTTAGGATCTACCTATTCTGTGCATAGATCAAACCAGTCTCCAGGGCTGTAAATCTTCCACCTTTTCACCTGTGCTAAATTCTTACAAGAAGTGATATGTCATAGAAATGGAATGGAAGCCAACTTGGATCTGAAATGAAAGATGACCTTTGTAGGTAGGGTCACTCGGGAAAAATGTTGCAGGCTGGCAGGGGATCATGCATCATTAAAAGTTGATACAGTGCAGTGAAAGCATGTCCTGTCCAGACCTCTGCTCGCTAGTAATGGAGAGATCTATGTATTGCTCTGGGGGGGGGGGGGGTGTTCAGAACATACTGATTTCAAATAGAATTTTGGGTGCTCTGAAAATCAGTGGAGATGGCTGGGCTGGGTATACACATTCTGCAGAATAAGGTAGCATACTCCAGAGGTGGTAGCTATTCAGGCTAAAGATGCGGCCACCATTTTTTGAAATTATCCCATGTGCACAAAAGTCCTGCATGGGGAGAATTAGTATATTAGGAAGACAAATTCCACACAAACTGTCTTTACTGCTGTGCTAATCTTCTTTCAGGGAGTACAGTCCACTCCTTTATCTCCTTTGTCTCCTTTATCTCATGACTCTACCGCTTCATTCTCAGTTCATTCTGTAGTACTGAAAAGACTTTTTGGAAGTTTTTACCTTAGAGAACTAAATATGTTTGATGGAGTATAGCCAAAAGTATGAAGACTGTGTGGCAGGAAAGTAGAATGGCTTTAGATGAAAGCAGAGCAATGAGACAGATGTGCCAGGAAAGGTCAACATGACTCTACTTGATTATTATGGCTTGATGAACCAGTTTTGTGAATGCTCCAATGTGTGTTGAGACTGTGGATTGTAACACAACCTTTCCAAAGTGGTCTGAATATGGAGATTTCCAAGATATTTTGAAAAAGGTCAGTTCATGGTGATGTCTTCATTTAAAGCAATCATGCAATGGAGGGGCCATGGCTCAGTGGCTAAGCACCTACTTGTCATGCAGAAAGTCCCAGTTTAAATCCCTAGCATCTCCAGGTAAAAGGATCAGGTAGCAGATGATGTAAAAATCTTCTGCCTGAGACACTGGAGAGCTGCTGCCAGTCTGCAATGACAGTACTGACCTTGGTGGACCAAGGGTCTGGTTCAGTATAAGGCACCATCATGTTACAAATAAGTTCCTATTCTGATTTATAATAGGGACACATCTAATAGAGACACAAGAGTTGAATGCAGATGACCATTTATCATTTGCAAACTTATCAAATGCAGATATGTACATGTAGCCCCAACTGTCAGTGGGGTGTAGTCAAAGGCCACGGGATGATGAATGTTACTAAGCCCCTACAGCTATCAGCATCTGGCCAGATGCTACAGGCCATCAGTTACTCAAATGGCTGCATGCATCCTATGTTGATTTTACAAGCAATTCCCTTTTGATAAATTGTCATTTGTATCCACCTGCAGAAATGTTTTGTTCTGGGAAACTCATTTGAGACTTCCTGGGCTTCCTAGTGAGGTGTTTATTCTTTATTCAAGGGGTCCTTTTCCTAAATAAGCAGGCTGACTGGGTGGAAACCCTAAATTATGGGCTTCAGCAGTTCCTTCTCCTGTCTTCAGTTCATAAATATTTCCAACCTGTATCCTCCTTTTTTAAAAGGAAATTTATGGTTTACTGAGTTCATTTCTGAAGAACAAACAAACATAAATCTAGATACAAATGATGGCTTGTTCCAAACATTGTTCTTCTTCATAGGTTGAAATTGCTGTTGCCAATAACTACACAACCAAGGACTGCTGTAAATCCCATGTCACATGGATTTATGTCAGCACTAGAAATACTACTTTCAGTGGAAGTGTCAGAAATACCATAGAGTGTTGAAAAATCAGTGGACTTATGATTATGCATACTCCGTCAGTATAAGGGCCTCTGACTTACAGTGAAATCAAACATCCTCCCCATTGAGCTGAAGCCAATTATTATAGTTTGCGCGCACAGGTGGGCATAGCGAAAAGCCGTTACTTTCCCAGCAGAGTAAAAGCAACTGGAGACTACAAGGTCAAGCCAGAGATAGCGGGACAGGGAAGAGCTGAGAACGGGGAGGAGGGCACCCCTCCACATTCCAGACTCATGACAGCTACCTGACACTGTCATTTCTCCAAGCTAAAGAGCCCCAAGCGTTTTAACCTTTCTTCATAGGGAAAGTGTTCCAACCCTTTTATCATTCGAGTTGCCCTTTTCTGCACTTTTTCCAATGCTATGATATCCTTTCTGAGGTGTGGTGACCAGAACTGTACACAGTACTCCAAATGAGGTCGCACCATGGATTTATACAGGGGCATTATGATACTGGCTGATTTGTTTTCAGTTCCCTTCCTAATAATCCCCAGCATAGCGTTGGCCTTTTTAATTGCAGTCGCACACTGTCTCGACATTTTCATTGAGTTATCTACTACGACTCCAAGATCTCTCCCTTGGTTAGTCTCTGCCAGTTCGGACCCCATTAATGTGTATTGATAGTTAGGATTTTTGGCTCCAATATGCATCACTTTGCACTTGGCCACATTGAACCCCATTTGCCATGTTGATGCCCACTTGCCCATCCTTGGCAGATCCCTTATGAATGCCTCACAATCCTTCCTGGTTCTTACCACCCGGAACAACTTTGCGTCACCTGCAAATTTAGCCACTTCACTGCTTACTCCCAACTCCAAATCATTAATAAACA